TTACTCCACTGTATTACCATGGTATTGTCCTAATTCAATGTTATTTTATTTCTTTATTGTAAACTGCTAGGAATCCATACAGACTACAGCAGTATATAAGGGACAGAAATAAATACATTTGCAAAAATCAAATATTGGCTTTTTTATTCCCTATATTATACTTTCCATTATTTCCTGTTGAAATTTTATAGGCAAGTTACACAAGGACATTTCTCAGTTGTAAGTTACATTCATGCAACTTACACAAGAACAATACAAGAAAAACCTTCCCCTTTTTTTTTAAAAAAAGGATCCAAACAGAATTGGTTGTTGTTTTTATAGAATTTGGCAGAATGCAATCTTTCTGAACAAGCAATCACAATGAAAATGTTACATTTTGGTTCTGCAAAAATAATAATCAGTGATGGACATTATGTTTCAATCAATTAAGAAGACATCTTTAAAAAAAATCAGAATGTTTATCTTTGTGTTTGATCCAAAGTGAAACACAATATCGGTCTAAAGTCTCAAAGGGGAAAAATTCTGCTTGATTGCATCAAGAATGTCCAAGGCAAATTGTTTCTTTTACATAAAATTTGCACAGAATATATTATCTGCTATACTCACCATTCACTGGCGCTCCAAATCGTCCAGTCATTACATCAAAGAAATTGCCAATGTTGGTTTCCACGCTACTGAAGATTATCCCGCTGTTCTGGTTACTAAAGTGGGTGGCCATGGAAGCCATAAATGCAACCTAAGCAAAATAGAGTTAGCATTTGAAAAATAGGAGAAAGGCAGACTGGAAGACATGGTTGAAAACAATCAATTCTGCATCAACTTCTTTCCTGGTTTAGTTGAGGAAGGAGGAGAAGGGAGAGAGAAAGGGAGATAAACTTTAATTTCCTAAATGCATCACTAAGATCTGGGCCAGCACTTAGCCAACCTGACTAACAACACTGCCATCGATTGATGTATGAACAGAGAACCACTCATATGAAGGAAAGAAAAACATCTAGATCAGGGGTGTCAAACTCAATTTCATTGAGGGCCACACAGTGTTGTATTTACCTTGGGGGGGGCAGGTGGGTGTGGCCAAACTGGGCATGGCCAACTCAACATCGCTCATGTCGGGGGCGCCTGTGGTGGCCCGAGCACTCTGCCAGCAAAAACAGGCTTCTCAGCTCCATTTCCATCTGCAACGGCCTCCTGCAACCCTTTGCCACCGAAAACAGAGCTTGGGGGGGCCACATGTGACCATCCTAAACTCTGTTTTCTCTGGCAGAGGCCCCACACGCTGGTCCTTCGCTGTTTCCAGGGTGGCCCCACGGGTCAGATCTAAGCACCATGTGGGCTGGATGTGGCCCGCAGGTCTTGGGTTTGACATCCCTGATGTAGATGTACAATCTAAAAAAAACAGCTCCATTTAAGATTATTGTATAGTTTAACATAGCAGCTGAGTTGATGGACTTCACTTCATGCTATCTCAGCCACAGGAAGTTTTAGTGGGATTTGTCAGATTGGCCCCAGGATGGAGGGAATAGAGAAGAAATCTTACTCACAGGATTACTTTGGCTTTCAAAATAAAAATAAGGTAAGGGAATTTTACCTGATACATATAGTAAAGATTTGAAATATCTGATTGTAAATGTATTAACAGTGGCTAGGATTGTATTTGCTAAAAACTGGAAAAATGAGAAAATACCATCGCAGGAGGAAATCATTAAGAAAATATTGGAATGTGCTGAAATTAGTAGATTGACATTTGAAATTAGAGAACAGGAGGATAAACAATTTTATAAAATTTGCGACCTTTTCTATCAATGGTTAGATAATAAAATACAATAATGGAATATGTAGAATTTTAGAAAATAAATATATAAAGATTTTTTTTTATTATTATTATATCTACAAAATGTTTTTTAGGATAGATTTGGGAGGATTATATGAATTGTTATAAAATAAACTAAGTAAATTACAGTTATCTCGCAAAATATGAATGAATAAAATTATTGTCAAATGATTGATTAATAATGATACTAGGGTATTCAATTTTTGATTGATAATATGAGCTATTATGCAATGTAACTGTAATTGAAGACTATGAAATGGATGCACAAAAAAAGTTGTAAACCAACCGGCACACTGCTTGTATACTTATGGAAGAAAGTTTGATGTTTTTATGTTTTGTTTGTTTATGTTTGTCTTTAAAAACCAATAAAATTTACAAG